CAGGGAGAGTGCATAAGTCATGGCAGACCCTGCTTTTCTCTCATTGAATTCAGTGGGAGTTCTGGCATGTAAGGAATGCAGGGTTTTGCTCATAAGCTGCAGTGAGCTCAGAGGTGGGTGGCTGCAAGTTTTAAATTTGTGTCTGGAGACGAGGGTTCTGCACAGTGTGTTAAGTGCTGCATAATGTTGTTTCAGAGACAGAAAACGAGCAAGCACATCTATATTTCACACTAAATCACACCTATAACTCATTGTGCTGTACAGGACAACACTGAAATGAAATTTAAAATGTGAACAATCAGTTCAACATTATGAAAAATAGTGTATATATAATATGTATGTATGTAATAAACAAGTTTTGGATGGCAAACAAGTTTCAGAAGTTCCTTTGCATGGTTATATTCAACTCTTACATTTAGTTTATTGTCATCCTTATTGCCTTCAAAATTCAGAACAGGAGCCTCTTTTTGAGCTATTGAAGTAGAAGCAAGGATCTGCATATATCTTGTTTAGTACTCCTGTCAAACGGGCAAATATTTATAGCCATGTACTTGTATGTTTCTTTGAGCAAAGAGTTCAGAAGACCATGATCCTGAGATGTTTTCTTTGGAACTGGGTCTGTGCATAGACCAAACTTCTGAATTCTAGCTGAATTTAACTTTGAGTTTCTCAAATTGAGTTGCCAACACAAATTGTACCCAGAGAAAGGAGACCACTTTTGGAAAAGTTAATGTCCTCAAGTTTATACTGCCTGTGCTCATGGTTTGTTTGTTTTTTCTTCTCTAGGTCATCATCAAAATGGAGTGATAAAAACCACGCCGTTTATACCACATCCCCAAGTTCCAGCAAATCAACGAGCCGGTCAGAAGAATCTGTATACAGGCATGGCATGCCCACCTTTACCACGGCCACTTTCAGGGGGATCAGGCAAAATTTCACATCAGCCACAAAGCCTGGATTTCCTCAAGGTGCCGGATCAAGGAGTTGCTGGGTAAGGTTTTACTAATGACATGGCACGTTAGATTTTAGTAGAGGAGGGAATCTGATCCTGTTAGATGATCTACTATCATGGTGAAGGATGCACATTAATAGTACTTAAGCCAAATGGGCAATTAGAATTGTTAATTACTTTGGGGAAGTTACCTATTAGTGAATCAAAACTGAGATACACATTTCTCAGTATTTCCTTCATAATTTACTGGATTAGTGATGCCTTGTACATGATGCAGATAAGACGGTACCAAACTACATTTGCTAACACTTGAGCTGGATATGATTAAAGTACCAAAGAAAAACAACAAAGTGATTTCCAGGTTACTTTTGGTGTCAAATGTAAAAGAAACAGCTCAGAATTGCTTTTTTCCCCCTATAATCAGTTACTATGACAACTATGCATGCTCTAGGGAAACATTTCCTTTGCTTTACCATGTTGCTGAGGTTTATGAGCTGAAATCACTAAGAGAAAGAGTTTGTTTGTTTCCAGTTAATAATAAGCCCTTCCAAATAATGCAAGTCCTTATCCAAACTCAGCTTGTTGGCTGGTGACTACTGATGGCCTATGGCAGTGGGGACCAACCTTTTTGCTGGGAGTGCCACAAATTAGCTCTGCATCCTTCCTGAGTGTCTCTTCGAATCCCCTTCCCCAGCCCAATCTGCTGCTCTGCTTTCTGCTCCCTGCCCTATCTGACACTGTGCTGCCTGTCCTCCCTGATCTGCAATGTACCCCACCTGGAGGCTGCCTATACCATTTGTGGCACTTGTGCCAGAGGTTGGCCACTCTTCACCTATGGGCTCTACCTGCTTCCCACTGGAAAGGTGTCAGTATCACCAGCCCCACAACTGGCAAAGAGAGAAAGAGCAGAGAGACCAGGGGCTAAATGTGTCCTGGAAAATGAACTGTGTTCTCAACTCTACATGGACTCCCCAGGTCATGGCTGAAAAATGTTGGTCCAGCCTGGGGCAGGCAAGCTTAGCAGTTTCTCAGGCTGTCACTGACATGTGGATCTACAAATGATTTCAGGCTCCGGGCTAACCATCTAGTACTTCCCTAAGTACTACAGTCTTTTAATGTAATATATAAAGACAATATACGTACAGTCATGGTAATCTAACACAGTCATTATTATACTGACTGCATAACAATTCCTCCTTTCTAACTGAGATTTCTCTTCTGCTTTTGTAGATTACCAGAGCTTTGCTTTAGTGGGAATTTGGATGCCACTTAGTTGTCAGAATCAAAAGCTGTTGCATATTCAGTTATTTGAGAAAAACGCTGTTCATCTTACAATAGCAATTCTCACTTTCATTTAGCTCCTTATCCAGTATAGCGAGGGAAAGGGTTTCACCAAGGATCCAGATTCATTTGGCTGAGATCTTCCAGAATACAGTATAATAGGGTAAATGTGGCTTGCATGGGTAAAAGTAAAATCTGCTCTGAAGTCAGGATTCATTATGCTCAGGGATGGTTTTTGATTCAGGCTTCACTTTGCAGGCTGTGACCTCTTAAAATAAACAGACATTGAGTACACCCTGCTGGTGTCTTGCTAATTAAAATAGGTGCGTTCTGATCATCATTCTGTTTCGCCCCATGCGACACGTGATGCTCACTTAAAACAGGTGAGGGCAGAAGCAAGCTTTGTTCAGCTGAGGGCTCCATTGGCAACTTTCCAACACCCAGAGGTTAGGCCCAAATTATAAAAAAGGAAGCTATTGTAAGCATCCCAATCTTTAGCATGACTGAATGAGGCTCAGAAATTATACCATCAAAGATCACCATTCAGAATAACAACACAGACCACCATATTATGGGATTATTTTTAATACAGCTAACTTCTGTATTAAGATAAGGAGTAATCACAGGAAACATTTGATCACACTCTGGTAGGTTTTCTGGTGGTGTTACAGCAGGGGTAGGCAAAATGCGGCCTGGGGGCTGGATGCGGCCCACCAGGTCATTCTATCCGACCTGCAGGGCCCCTACAAAACTTAGAAAATTAATATTAATCTGCCCTGGGCTGCCTGTCATGCAGCCCTCGATGTCTTGCCAAAACTCAGTAAGCAGCCCTCTGCCCAAAATAATTGCCCGCCCCTGTGTTACAGTGTGGGGCATCCTGTCTCGAGAGTACCTCTGACCTGCATTCTCTGCCTGTTTCTTCTGTTCATTGCAGCTCTTGCAACGAATCTGTATTGCCCCATCCTTTCCTTTAGGCAAAGGCTTTTTATGATTTCACTGGTAAATACTTCAGAACTGGCATATTTTGGATGACTGCACCTAGACCTTCTGGCCCAGCACCAGGCTGAAGTTCCATCATGATCCAAAGCGGGTCAGAGATAGTGTAGCTTACAATTCCCCAGGGAGAACGGCACAGAGGAGAGCAAGACCACTGTTTGGCAGAGTGGAACTGGCTGTTGCTTCATTGACTGTCACCTCGGGAAGGGGATGTACTGTCATTTTTTTTGACTGCCATTATAGTCAATTTCTTTTCACCTCATCTACTTCCTGGCTTCTCTTTCCCCAAACAGTCCTTTGAGTGGATACTTAATCTTTCTCCCAAGTGGGAGAAGTCACCTAGCCAGACCTGCCACAGCAAAATGCCAGCTGGCAGCAATTAGGTTATGTTGCACCACTGCTCCAAGTGACTCACTGCTGAGTCTAAGCCCTCACTGACCACAGCAGCTGGATCCCAAGTGTCGCCCAAAGGTGGAGAAAGAGGTTGAAGTAAAAACAAAGTCACCACCATACAAGGAAGTCTGCTAGAGGAGGTCTGGATTTCTCAAGGAGGCTCGGAAGGTCCTATGCTAGTAGCAGTCTTTCCGCTCCATCCCACACCTGCTACACTTATGAAGTCACACAGCTGTGTTAACATCAGCATTTCCTTTGCTACTCTATAAGCCGATTTTTAAAACTCGGCCATAACATTTTTCTGCTGGGCTGTAATTGTTCGGCCAAGTTTTTAACCTGATAGTGAGTCACTTTGCCAGATATATCAGTTTATGTACTAAAAATGCTTTGGCAGAAATACTGATTTGCCCAGTCTCTAGTCATCTGTTCACTGTGACATCCCATCACATTTGCCTTCAGTCTGGGACATCATCCAGGGAGTGGCTTCCAATTCACTCCTCTCAAATTCAAGTCAAGTGTCTAATGCAACATATTCTTCAGAGGGTAGACAAATGTTTTACTTCTTTCTTCTGTACCAGGTGGTCTCCTGGCACAGCATCTTTACTTCATCTGGATCTAATGCTGGTTAAAGTTGTGGTGTAGTACAGTACCTACCCATCTGGTATCAGCCTTACAGAAAAGCAACCAATCTTCCCAATACAGAGATCTCAGTGGATGTCTGGATAACTTGCCGTAGACCCTCCCACCACACACACACACACACACACACACACACACACACACAC